TAAAAGAAGTGCGGTAAAACTAAAAGACAAGGAAGCCAACGTGATACAAGTAGATGTTCGCTAACACAAATAGATATTCGTTAAAACTAAAACAAGTGTGATGAAACTAAAAGATGAGGAAGCCAACGCGATACAAGCATAAAAAGATGTTTGATAACACAAAAAACGATATTAGTTAAAACTAAGAGATGCGCGATGAAACGAACTGAGATGAGGAAACAGAAATGATTACAACTAAAAGATGAGGAAGCAGAAATGATTTAGCTCTTAACCGGAAATGATATGTCTTCACATGTAGCAGTTTTCCCACACTGTGCACCATCTCTTAACATGGCAGATCGCAGATCTGTCCAAGAATTTGTGCAGAATGTTATAAATCTTCAGACCTGCTCAAATCAACGAGGAAACAATGAAGAAAGCAGCAGAGCTGAATTTGAGTCAATCACTGATAAAGTGAATGCACAATTTCAGATCCCAAGACAAGGTAGTCAAGGCTGAAGGACCGCTACACCAACTACTTCTACATTGTGCCAGCTACTTCTTTCAATCCCCAGCAGAACTGTACTTTTCAACAGACCAGAAGGTGTCCTAGAGGGGGAGCAAGAAACTCTGCATCAACTTCAAGAGTCGGACAACCAGACTTCATGTATAAAGATATTTGCCTGCTTCCCGATTCCGAATATGATCAGGTGCCACAAGGAGCTGCGAAGGCAAATCTGGTCCAGTCTGGTCTGTACGTGGACGCATTTAAGTTGAACAAGACCTTGAGTGAGGCTTGCCTTTATGTGGAATTGGCGTCCTTGTTCAAAGAAGCCCTGAGACGCCCTGGTCTTGATGACTCTGGGTAAGCAGTTGACTTTTTATTCTGTTGTGTGCTCTCTACCCAGCAGGAGGGTCTTCTCAGAAGGCATTGACATTCACTGTACTGTTTTCTCGTATGGATGCACAAGCCCCTGTGCCTCAACCCACCTTCGCCCAGGCCTTGACAGGTGTTTGGTGTTGCTTGAAGAATTTCACTCAAGTTTACGTCACGTTCATCATCAGTGATGTCACTAAAATGTTCTCCCATCCCAACTTGCAATCCAAATTCACGCCTCCGACGGTGTAGCGCTTGATCTGAGATTCCAAGAATTCTCCCAATGTTTGCCCAACGAAAACCAGCGTCATTATCAAAAGTTTGAAGGTGTTCCTCTAAGACCTGTAGTCTTGGCCTGCCAACTAACACACTCCTTGTTACACCAACATGTATAAGACGTTTGCTCCATGGAGGCGATGGTGGAGTATCACGCTCACATTCCTTGACGGTTCATACAAAGTCACTTGTAAGCTCGTTTACAATAGAATAAAGTTCGTTTAGGTCATTGATCAATTCAACTTCATTAGGGAAGGATTCCTCTATCCTAAGAGCTAAAATAGCGAGGGTTCTTTCATTTTCCTGAAGGTGGCAAACAACAAACTCCGCAGAGTCATACGATGTGGTTTGCCTTTGTCTTTGTGCACTTATGATTAAGTTACCCAGAGAAACAAAAACTTCTTTGACAATAGGAGGGTAATAATTACGGGCTTTTAATGAAAACGATAAAAAAAATTCCCCAAATCACTTTTCGGCCAGCCGGATGGCTTCTCACTTTTGATAGGCACCAAATTTGCAGTGCCACTAATAGAGTTACTATTTACGCTTCAACTTGATAGAGAAATTGTTATGTTTAGGTTTTATTTCCCTTTATTTATTAAACTGTGTATGGCTTTGTTATGTGTAATCTTTAAAAGCGAGCGATATTTACACGCGGAATTTACGCACGGCGTTTTGAGTATTTCTGCATGCGATGTTTATGTTCGACTGGAAACAACCAGTGCAGCGATAAAAATTGCGAGAGGGACTACTAACAATCAATAAAATAATATAATTCGGTGAAACATGTACAGAGACTATAATTTTCATTCACGAAGAGAAGTATTGAGAGTAAAGTGTCCCTGAAAATCATGAGTTAGGTCAGCATAAGCTTATTTATGTTTTAAGCCAGCTCCCGGTGTTTGCTCTTTTTCAAGATGAACTCGAGACAAGAAAATCAATCAGAGCTTTCTGTTTACAGCCAAAATCATAACTAAATAATCTTCGGAACCTTTTCTTTGAATTTGCGGCTCTTTAGAAGACCACTTTTTAGTGATAAGGATTCCGTGGTTAAATAAAGTTATTACTTACATACTTAGATCATTGCTCGTGTATAAACTTAAGCCACATGAACCATACGCTCGACTTCAGGAAACCGAAAAAAAAAAACACATCAAAGTCAATAATTGCTCAGGCTTACCAGTCGAGATGCTGCTTCTGAAGGTCATCAACTGTTCCAGAATCGCTTGACACTTTTCAACCCTCTTATGCCTCAAGCAAGGGCAAGTGAGTAAGCTCTTTTTTGAAAACGATGCCATCCGAAATAGGATTTCCAATGACTTTGACAAGCGGTGCATTTGTCAACAAAAATTAAAGCGCAATAAACAAACCAGCCATGAATTACAGAACAATCTTGATAGCAGCTGTATTTCATTTTGTACACGAAGTAGAAAAAGACAAGATGACAGAAAACTCTGTCAGCTCCAGCTATCACTAACCAAGTTTCCAGATGCTGCATAAATTTTCCCCATGAACTCACCTGTTAAATTTTGACCAATCAGAACATAAGAATTGAACGTAGAGCGTGATCAATGTGTGAAAGTGAGAAAAGTCAAAAGCGATTGCCTTCCCTGCATGTAAATGTAATAGCCGGTTGAATTTTCGCGACCGAGGTCAGTTCGAAATCAACAATTTAAAAGTGCTGCTCATGAACACGACTTCTTTCATACGCATTTTAATACAATTGAACTTGAGCCTGCGATCATTTGAAAAGTATCAACTTGTCAGCGGATACCTTCAAAAAAACACTGGAACTTGGTGGGTCGATACCTGACCCCGCTATACGGTCAGGCGATACTGGTTAGCAGAAACACTATTTTGACAGCTGTCAATTAATCAAAACATGGATGTACAATATCAGGTTGCAGGATGGACGGAAGGTCGGGTAGTTGGTGTACGGTCATGTGATTGCCGAATTTTCTAGGATGGATAGATTTTCTAAGCTATGGGGCTTCGAATTGAGCCCGTGATCAAATAAAATATCAGCCAAAAACTTTAAACACTACATGACCTCAATGCATAAAAAAATGAGCCCGCGATACACTCAGGTGATGATAGTCAGCGTATACTCTAGTTTGACAGCTGTCAATCAAGCTTCATTAGAATGGCGAATATTCGAACTAACAGACTACGAGTGTGATAAGACATATCCATCCATTATCCGTCCGGCATGTGGTGGAAAATGGCAGATCATGCACCTGAGCCCTAGTTATTAGTTTTCTGATAGTGGTCTGCACATGTCCCATTTTGACAGCTGTCAATTGACCTTAATTTGGCTTGCCAATATAACTTTCAGCCAAATGACAGCCTTGCCCTGCGTAGTTTCGTTTTTATGTTTAATTGGTACGTGTAACATATATCAGCTTATATGCAGGGGCAAAACGACTGGTCTTTCACCTGAGCCCGCGAGATGGTCATGTGATAATTGTCAGCGGATGTCTGATTTTGACAGCTGTCAATCTAAACGTACTCATACGGATGGCTTACATAACTAAGAGGCTAGTCAAGTTGTGCAAGATCTATTGTGACATTTGACATCAGCTTACATGAAGTGTGTGTACGGGCGGGCGGGCGTACGCTACATCATAACCAAATTTTCTCGGTTGGATAGTTTACCAAATTTTCTTACCCATGGTGCTTCGCTGCGCGCGCGAGAGCTCCGCTAAAAGTTGTACGAAAACAATGAAACAATTTGCATTATTGTTTGGCATTAACTGCTAACTATGGTTGTTGTTCTCCAAACAGTAAGTACGTACAGTGTGGACTAAGCTGAAACCACGGGTCTTTGTCAGTCTGAGTATAACAAAAAATGTTTGAAACTTTTCCAGGCACGCAAAAGGATCCGCCATTGCCGACAGGGTCTTCTTTACACTCACTTTAAGTAAAGTTCAGTTTTACTCAAAAAATTGTGTAAATAAAATCATTGTCTTTACTCGATTGTTTAGGTATTGTTTTTACTCATTGACAGCGTAACATTTAATTTCACTCAAAATTCAGAGTAGCCTTTACCCAAATTATGAGTAATTGGCTGTTTCACTCAAAATAAACAGTCACTATGGATGCATTTCTCTTGAGTAATTTTACCTCTACTTTTGATTTATTTTTACTCAATAACTGAGTATTTTCAACTCAAACTTTTGGGTAGATTTACTCATTCTGAGAAAACTTACTCATGCCAGTGAGTAATCTTTACTCAGTATTTCTGCTTAAGTTTCCTCATTATAATGTGTCACTATGGATGCAATGATTTACTCAGTATTTTGAGTTCAGTTTACTCAGCTTTTTTACTGTGCTGGACTTGTCGGAGTTTTCTTTGCCTGCTTTGTTCAAAAAGGCAATAATTAACTGGTCAAAATCACATTGATTTTGTATTTGCTTCTTTCCTCCCCTTCTTTAACAATAAAACAAGGTTATGAGGACCTCTAAAGTTATAATTTGCTACTTTACTAGAAAAAAAAACACCAAGAAAATGTAAAAAAGATGGCCACGTAATACATTTCTACCAAATTATAGAAATAAAGCAGAAGCACTGGCAGTTAAAAAGTTCGTGGAATAGTGAAAAAAAATAGAAGATGAGACTATGCTCTATCCAGAGTGTGGATTACAGAAAGCAGCAGTCCTTGAAATTTTGCTTAATTAGAGAGCGACGAAGGCTGCAAAAAGACATATCCGTTCCCAAGATGACGTCGTCACGGCTACTGACAGTGTACCTGAATCATCGTCCAGTGGAACTCCTCCCCCCCATTATCAAAGTTAGCCACAGTGCATTTCAAGCCCGAAGTCTTTACAAGACCTTTTCACTCTAATCTAAAACGAGCCCTTAGGGAAGATGAATTTGGAGTTTGCATTTGGCCAACTGTCCATGCTGGAAAAAGAGCCGGTGAAAATGAACATCAAGGTTCCCCAACAAAACGACAAAAGAGAATGGCAAGTAATCTTCTATTAGACCTGCTATTGTCACCTTGGTTTAGACTAGTGTTATATCAAATTATCAGCAACATATTCTTCCTTTATAGAATGTCAGATCAGCCAAAGAAAGGATTACCAATTTGGATTCGTCATGCGCAGCCATTGAGGGAGAGCCATCGCCTCATCAGGACACCACTTTTGATGTGAGCGTAAGCTGTTCGTTACTGTTTCTGCCAATAAGCTGGTGATACATATTTTGCCCAGATAAATTATTAAGATCAGATATTTTTTAATAGGTGAGTTGCACAGAACCAGAGACCATTACAAGTCAGGACACCACTCTTGATCTGAATGTCAGTTTTTCTTTACCCTTGTTGATGTATATGTATCCCTTTTTTCTGCCAATGACTCTGTGAAATACACTCTGTGATACATATCTTGCCCAGATAATTCAACAGGCATCACCAATCGACCAAACAGATTGCTTGGAAGGGTTCCATTCTGTACTAAATCTCTTTGCTCCAAAGATGATTGCACATTCTTATGTTGGGAGGTTTTGCAGGTAGTTATAAATAATACAGGCATATCAGAAACAGCTTTATCTCCTTTTCTTCGCAATATTTAAGTATACTCTGGACAGTTGCCAATAAAAATTAATGTTGTTATCACGGTGCATTCCACTATGCAGATAATGGTACCCTACTAGCTGCTAACTTTTCAAGTACAAACATTGTGTAATTTTTTAAAATATTTTCCAGGCACATTCTAGCTGCACTTCACTTCAATTACAATTTACGCAGAAAAGCAAAGATGAATCCAGATGGAACAGAGAAAGTCAAAGTTAGCTACCCAAAATACAAGAATGGGAAAGCAACTGTCAGGAGTGTCAAGATGGAACAGAATTCTTTTGCTGTGTAAACATGATTCATCAAAACTTTAAACCTTTCTAACTTGGAGCAACAGTAGCAACAACACCTACATTCCACCAGAAAAATTAAGGTTGGCGAATAATAACCTGTTGACAGTCGATAGAATTTAAAACTTTCCAAAATAGCCGAGATAATTTTAGAAACATGTTTTGGTGCTAGTGTGAACACAGCTTTAGTCGAAAAAAGATTGCTTTGCCTATTTCTATTCATTGCTACACTTTTTAAATAAAGAAGTTTAATAAACTACAGCAGGCAGAAATATTTGGCATATTTCGTTTTTTTTAGACTATGTTGAGGAGCTCTACCAGTTTTATTTAAAATCCAGCAAGGTGGACCTGGCTAGTGCTGTGGATGAGCTCAAGGAGATGACCACACAGTCAATGGTGCCAATGTTTGACAAACAACCTAAGGAAGCTGCGGTACAAAAGCGAAGTGAAAGAAAGAGAATGAATATTATTCTTATTCATTCTGTTGGCTAATATGATTTGATTTTTCTGCCCTCAGCTCATGTAGAACAGGCCAGGGAAGAACAGGGGCCCAGACAACAGCAAGAAAGGAAACACGATGCAGAACATGCCAAGAACCACTCAAAGGTCACAAGAATGTGACCCATTGTCCTAAAAACCAAAAGTAAAGAAGTAAAGGAAGAAACCAAACCATTGCCATGGGAATAGTGTTTTACTAGAAACATTTCATTAAAAATTGATCTTTTTAGCGGAGCACCATGGGTAAATAAATCTACCCATCCCAGAAAATTTGGTATTCACGTGACCGACCGACCGAGCGACCGAGGGGTGACAATTTTCCACAGGCGTAGAGGGAGGATGAGTTTTCGTTACTCAATTAATTAGTCAGCAGTAGTTTGGCAAAATGAAGAGGGACGTCCAGTTAAATGATCGAGCTTTCTCTCGCCACACGTCGGGTCGACTTTTTGACCTTATTTATGGCCCTTTTTCGCAATCTGGCGGAAAACCAGACGGGCGAGATCAAGGTTTTCAAGCGACGACTATGAAGTCTTCCGTGGACGAAGTAAGGGAAAAAGGGATTGCATTTCTTCAAGGAAATTTTGACAATGTTCACTTTTCGGAGAATTACTGGTTTCCAGTCCATAAAGGAGATGCAGAAAGTCTAACTGATTTGATCAACAGATATCTTTCTTTGAATTCGACGTCAAGATAATTGTCTTCACGTTTTCATATCCTTCGTAAACTGTCTCCATACCAAATTATTGTGGTTATTTGCTTGAAGTGGCTACTTGATTGTCTCAGCTCAGCCCATTTTTGAACACAACAGAGGAAATATCCCCATTACTTTCTTTGGAGTCCCCTTTACAGTAGAAAGCTCTGAATCCAGACATTGCACGCATGGCCCAGAGGTTAGAGGCCGCGCTTTTTTCGCTGCAGGAAGTTGGGATGCGTGTTCAAATCCCTGCGTGGCAACCTCCGTTTTTTTTCTTTCATCGTTTTTTTACCCTTTGGCTTTTTACGTTTTATTCTTACTGCTGACGGCTTTTAGCTTCGCAAGATTTTTGCGAAAACGTATTTCTAGTAGTAAATTAAACCCGTCACTTTCTATTATATTTTGTTTATGAGCATTTTTGGAAGTTAGTCAGGGTTATTTATTTTTTCTCATTTTTATGTTGGGGGTCAACCATTTAACTCTTCGGGGTGATTTTGAAAAAAAATTTCCTGCAAGCGCTTGTCAGAAGAAAAAAATTGCATGCAGCACAAATGTAATAGAAAGCTTATGGGAAAAAAAGGGGAACAAATATCCTGCTCACCAGATTGCTAGAAAAAAATATTCTTGATGACCAGAAATCACTGCCCCCCTCCCCCTCAAGAGTTAAATGGTCGGCCCCTAAGTGAAGAGCATAAATCGCACACAAAGTTAAGTTCGCTCGTATTGCTCATGATTGACAGTTAAACATGAAAGTCTCCAGATCTTTAGAGTGGCCGGGGGTGTTGGAAAAACAAAGTTTGTGGTGTTTTGTTTAGCAATTTGTTGAATTGATTGTTACTGATTTTAAAGTAGAAAGCTAAGGTAAAACAGACATGATTTTCCATTGATTCAAATTATTATCTATATCATCTACATCTACCTATATTAAGTCCGTAAAAATCGTTAAGACATCACACCAACCAATATGTGGTGCTCCAAAATTTGCCTTATTTCCCAGTCTCATCAAAGCACAACAACAAAACTAACAACCAAACTAACAACTAAAACACTGATAGGATTTCGTCTTTGATGTTCTTTGATATGATTTCTTATTGCAAGCACTCTCTAGCAGAAGCAAGCCCTTCCAAGAACTAAAACATTTAAAAGTGCTCCTAATTTTGAATTAGCCCCGCCTCCCTTCCCCCTGATTCGACAATGTCGAAACTAAAGTGCCGATTGGCTGACCTGGTTTGTACTATGTTTCAACTGCAGGACTCGAGGGGTGGGTCTGAAAAAATGATGCTCTGTCGTATCGGATATTTTTTATTACAAGAGAATGCGTGACAAATACAATGATCCTAATAACTTCAATATCAAAATAGAATCTACAAACCACTGTTATTACTGTTATTTTTTTCGGGTTATAGCATAGATTCACGATTCGGAATTCGCGGTTGCGTTAAAATAGAACAAAGAAAAATACTTTTTAGTTTTTAGGGACATCGTGATTGCGGTGAAACTAAGTGAGAGTGAATGGTGAATAAAATTAGTTACATCCAACTACTGTACTTGTAACTTGTGGACAACACTGTTAATGGGAGACAAAATGTTATTGGGAGATTACTGCACAAAATGAAAAAACGTCGGCAGTGACAAAAATGAAAGGAAAGAAAAGCTTAAAAAACTGCGAGCACTTATTGGAGGTAGCTCACGGTTGAAGTCAAAGCGTCAAACAGTCAAAGATATGGTTACGACAAAAAGGCAACAGCTGCGCTTCGAGTTCAGGTGGAAACATTGGTCTGATAGAAGATTTCAACAAAAGAAAGTGAACCATGGAGGCCAGAGCAGGGTATTGGATGTCCCAAGATTTGCGACCTTGGAAGACTGCTTAGAGATCGTCAAGAGCCTATTTTTCCCAAGTGGTGAAAGCCCAGCAGGTAGTGCCAAGGATATGTCCTCTGCATTAGGCAATTATACCGGCGACGTCATCGGTGACCTTAAAGAAAATGGTGAACTCTGCAGTCTTACCGCAGAGAGATACAAAAGGGTCACTGGATTAAATCACCTTAGACTATACTTGTTATCAAAATGTCTCCACGACTCTGACGATGCAATATCAGAATACCTACAGTCTAAATGCGCATCATGCAATGAATATACAGATCGGCTATTGTTAAAAACCGTTCCATTTCCTGATTTAGTTGTAATTGAGGAAGAAAGTTCAGAGCTGGTCCAGTCAAACGACTTGTGCGTTATTTGCATGGAGTCAGAATCTACACGCCAAAAACTTTTAGTTACGAGATGTTGTCACCAATTTGCTCACATTTTCTGTCTCAGAAGATATTATTGTATTGCCGATGTATCCTCGACCCAAGACTATGCTGACGAGGTAACGGCCAAGCTTTATAGCGAAAACTGTTTTCTATGCTGTAGTTGCCCTGACAAAGAAGCACCCTTAGACCATTTTATTGTCCAACATTTAATCCCCGAAATTAATCCAGACGCTACTGACAGAAGAATTCAGGACGCACATGCGACCCTGAGTAGTCTCTGTGCTGGTCTTACGTCCAGAATTTCGCCTCTTTTGTCCAGCTGTAAAGCAGGGTATCTACGCTGTACATATGCTGTGCGTCAATATAGCTCAGAACACGGATATGTCAAGCAAATTACGCCCGATTTGCCAACAGTTCGCATACTTCAACCTCGTGAATTTCAGGAGGAGGCTTTACAATGCATCAAGTATATACTGAAGGACTTCTCTGGACTGCCGCTAGATCAGCGTGAATTTGGGGAAAATACTATAACGTATTTTTCCCTTAATAAAATAACTGAAATTCGGTCAAGTCGTTTTTAGTTTCTCTGAATATTTTATTAACATTTTCTTTTCCGTTTTGTGATTGACAGGACATTATGTTACAAAAGCTCATATACTCTCTTCATGGCGTTATGTTGACGGATACTCAATTCAAAGAACTGGGGCTTACTGCTCTGGGGGATCATATGAAACTGAGAGATTAGCGCGTAAAACGGAAAAACGCCCGTAGTGACGAGAATGAAAGGAAAGAAAAGCTTAAAACACTGCGAGCACTTAATGCATGTAGCTCACGGTTGAGGTCAAAACGTCAATCAGTCAAAGATATGGTTACGACAAAAAGGCAACAGCTGCGCTTCGAGTTCAGGTGGGAACATTGGCCTGATAAAAGATTTCAAAAAAAGAAAGTGAACCGTGGAGGCCAGAGCAGGGTATTGGATGTCCCAAGATTTGCGACCTCTGAAGACTGCTCAGAGATCGTTAAGAGCCTATTTTTCCCAAGTGGTGAAAGTCCAGCTGGTAATGCCAAGGATATGTCCTCTGCATTAGGCAATTATGCCGGCGACGTCATCCGTGACCTTAAAGAAAATGGCGAACTCTGCAGTCTTAGCACGGAGAGATACAAAAGGGTCACTGGATTAAATCACCTTAGACTATACTTGTTATCAAAATGTCTCCACGACTCTGACGATGCAATATCAGAATACCTACAGTCTAAATGCGCATCATGCAATGAATGAATATACAGATCGGCTATTGTTAAAAACCGTTCCATTTCCTGATTTAGTTGTAATTGAGGAAGAAAGTTCAGAGCTGGTCTGGTCAAAAGACTTGTGCGTTATTTGCATGAAGTCAGAATCTACACGCCACAAACTTTTAGTTACGAGATGTTGTCACCAATTAGCTCACATTTTCTTTCTGAGAAGACATTATTGTATTGCCGATGTATCCTCGACCCAAGACTATGCTGACGAGGTAAGGGCCAAGCTTTATAGCGAAAACTGTTTCGTATCCTGTAGTTGCCGTAAGAAAGAAGCACCCTTAGACCATTTTAGTGTCCAATATTTTATCCCCGAAATTAATCCAGATGCTAATGACAAAAGAATTCAGGACGCACATGCGACCCTGAGTAGTCTCTGTGCTGGTCTTACGTCCAGAATTTCGCCTCTTTGTCCAGCAGTAAAGCAGGGTATCTACGCTGTACATATGCTGTGGGTCAATATAGCTCAGTACACGGATATGTCAAGGAAATCAGGCCCGATTTGCCAACAGTTCGCATATTTCAACCTCGTGAACGTCAGGAGGAGGTTTTACAGTGCATCAAGCAAATACTGAAGGACTTCTCTGGACTGCCGCTAGATCAGCGTGAATTTGGGCAAAATACCATAACGTTTTTTTCCCTTAATAAAATAACTGAAATTCGGTCAAGTCGTTTTTAGTTTCTCCGAATATTTTATTAACAATTACATTGGGGTTTTGTGATTGACAGGACATTATGTTACAAAAGCT